CCTCAAAGCCCTCTCCAGGCTCAGGCTGGTTGGAGATAGCCAGCAATGTGACCTCGGGGCTACTTGGCTCTCTGTGCCTTAGCTTCCTCATCTGGAGCACAGGAATAACAGTCATACCTTCTCATAGTGCCTCTGAGAGACGGAGGACTATCAAGTTCTCAGCCAAGCCTGGCATATAGCAAGTGCTTTCTTTACAAAGGTTCCTTATTATTATATTCATTTTCTTTTAAAGAATTATTTAATTTTATGTATTATTGTTGTTAATTTTTTTTTTTTTAATTTGACCAGAGAGAGATAAAGTGAGAAAGCAAGCCACCAGGTTTGGGACTTGAACCATGATCAACCATGTGTCAGTCCAGTACCTTAACTACCATGCCACCTGTCAGTCCCATTATATTCTTTTAAAAACGAGACTTCTGGGGCCAGCAGGTGGAGTAGTGGTTAAGGCACTGGATATTCCCACATGGGCAACCATGGTTTGAGTTCCAGACCTGGTAACTTGCTTTCTCACTTTCCTTCTTTCTCTCTCCCTCTCTGTGTCTCTCTCTCTGGTCAAATTAAAATAAATGAATGAATAAATTTTAAGGAAAAAAATGAGACTTCCTAGCAAGTTATGACAGAGTCTATCAGATCTGATAGATTTGTTCAAAGCCTTCCCTTATAGTTGTTGTATTTTTGGCTGGCAGCATTCTTCATTCATTTGCTTATTTAATAAATATTTGTAGAGTGTATCTGTGGCAACAAAGGGTGGCAGAGGGGGGGCCCTAGGACCTGACTGGTTCCCAGAGGGGTGCCTGAGTGAGAACTAACATTTATCCAACAGCTTTGGGCTTAGGTCATATGCACTCGCACTCTCGCATTCTCGCCAGCCTGGGAACGGGCATTACCCAGGTAGCAGAGAAGGGAGCCCAGTGAAGCCGGCCACAAGATCAGACACTACTGAGCAGCCCCCAGGGCACTTGCATCCAGGCCCGCCTCTCTCCAATGTCTGTGCTTTTCCAAGGCGAGATTCCGGGGCTGCCTTTCTGCTGTACTCCCACTCCCTCCTCCTGCCCTGCTTCTGCAGAGCCAGATCCCTGGAGACCAAAGGTCAGGCTGTTTGTCCATTGCCCTCTGTAGCAGGATCTTTGTCATTTCCACCCTGGTGCGCCTGACCGTGAGGCGCAACCTTGGGGCTTTCCTCAAAGGGGAAACCCGGCCTGGAAGCAGCCATGGAAAATGTGTCTGCGGTGACTCCTGAGGTCTGCCTCCTCAGCTGCAGAGTGTCTGGTCGTCTGGGGGCAGAGCAAGGTGGAGTCTCCCTGGGTGGGCACTGAGCCAGTGACTCCCCAGAGCCTGAGCTAAGTCATAGACTCTCTTTGGGCCTCAGTTTCCCCACTTGTAAAAAGGGGGAGCTCACTGGGTTCCTGCACCAGCCCTCTGTGTGCTATGTGAGCTGGGAGCCTATCTGCTATGGCAGGCCCCTGCCCTCCTTTCCTCTTGGGTTCTTGTGAGGATAAAATGGGACCATGCTACAAAGGGGACTTGGAAACAGAGTCCAGAGCTGGATAAGGGAGCAGATGCCGAAGCTGGTGAGTGTGAACTAAGAGAGACCCTCATGGCAGGGCTCCAGCATCACGGCTCACCCAGGCCACTGCCTGTGCCCCAGGCCCCATTCCCCCAGACTCTGCGAGACCTGTACTCCTGCGGCTAGGAGGAACCTGTGGGGGCTGCCTTAGCAGACAGAGCTGCAGCGTTAAAACCCCAGATAGACTCCCCTGAGGGTGGACCTGATCTTCATTTGCTCAAAGCTGGAACCTGGGGGCCTGTGGATAGCAGAATCAGAGGCTTATGTTCTGAGCTCTCTGAGGGCAAGCAATAGGCCTAGAGCTGGGATAAGCATCCTGCTAAATCCGTAGGTAGGCTGAAATCCACACCCCTGAGGTGACAGTATTAGGAGGTGGAACCTTTGGGAGATGATTAGGTTGTAAACCTCATGAGTGGGATTAGTGCCTTGTAAAGGAGCCCAGGGGAATTCATCTGCCTCTCTCACCATTTGAGGACATAGGGAGGAGGTGTCATCCATGAACCAGGAAGTGGACCCTCACCAGGTACCAAATCTGCTAGAACTTTGATCTTGGACTTTGCAGCCTCCAGAACTGTAGAAACATAGCTGTTCCATATAAGCCATCCAGCCCATGCTATGTTATTACAATAGTCCAGACTAAAAGTCCATCCAAAGCCAAGAAGTCACCCACCTGGATACATCTGTGGGACTTCCTACAACCTCCCTGACACCCTGCCATGCTGGGTTTGCTCCTGGACTTCCTCACATGCAAAGGTGGGAAAGGGAGTTGGGAGTAGGAAGAGAGACCCATGGCTGACCAGGAGGCGCTCCTCCCCATTCACCATGTGAATCACTTGGGAACTGGGTCTGGGACCCAAACTGCTCTGGGTCTCAGTTTCCACATCTCACTTGAAAGGCATATATCACATGCCCTCAGAGAGGCCAGAGTATGAGCCTTTGACTTCCGCCCTCCCATTGAGCAAATGGAGATGGGGTCCAACCTCAGGGGACTCCATCTGGCCTTTAACGCCCAGCTCCATCTGCTGCCGCAGCCTCCACATGCTCTCCTGAGTGGACAGAAACCAGGGGTGGAGGCAGGGCACCTCCGACCCCAGGAGGACTCAAAAGTCAGGAGTCTCCCTTCCAAGCTAGTACTCATGGAAGGAGCAAGGACCAGCTGGAGTGCTGGTGGGGGAGGCGGCTCCACCCAGAGGCCCACCCAGCTCAGTTCCCACAGGATGGGCCAGATGGCGGGGGCAGCTGATGGGAGGGCTCCTTGCTCCCTCCACCCCATGAGCTCTGCAGGGATCTGGATTTCTTTCCTCACAAAAGACACGTGGGGAGAAGCCTTCCTGCAAGCAGATTTGAGCTCACGAAACCTTCCAATCTGGTGGAATCACAGCTGTAGCATGGCAGAACCGCAGTGTGCTGCAGGTTTCTAGATTCCAAGAGGCGCCGCGTCCCAGGGTATTATTTTATATATATATATATATATATATATATATTTGCTATAGTGTGTGTACATTTGTTGGAGAGAGAGAAAATAAGAACCACCAGTGGGGATGGCCCCGTCGCAATCCCTTCTCCACTTCTCCTTTCAGAATTTTGGGCATGCAATTACACGCACCTGGCATGTTCTTCAGGCAACCAGGTCTGGGACCTGAACTGTGGAGTCAGCCATGTGGGAACCAGCACCTTAACCTCCACACCACCTGCTGGTCCCTAGGCTTTTAGAAGGTGAGTCATAAGATTTTAGGTTTCCAAACTGTGCTGCCTGGCACTGTAGCCACTGGCCACACGTGGCCACAGAGCACTTGGATGTGATGGGTCCAAACAGACGTGCTGTAAGTGTCCATACATGGGGGATTTGGAAGACCTAGCACAAATCTTATAGTAATTTCCTTGCAATGTGCCAGCTCTGTCGCACAGCAGTACTGTGCTACTCAGGGGAAGCCAGATCCCATGGTTCGGATCCCTGGCCTGGCCAGCCTGAAGCACTTGGTGTGTGCGCATTTGTCCGTGATCTGATGGGCTGGAGGGCTGGAGGGCTGGAGGAAGGGGATCACCGTTCTCTCTCTTTCTCTCTCTTTCTCATTCTCATGTGCATGTGCACATGCTCTACCATGAATAAAGGGAAAAAAGGAATTTTTCTTGTATGACATGTCAAAATGATAATGATGTTGGTCTCTTGCATTAAATACAATATATTTCTAAAATTCACTTTTTTTTTTCTTTTACTTTTAAAGATGTAGCCATTAGAGAGGCAGGTTGTGGCATGGCAGTTAAGGAAACTGGATCGCATACAGCTGACTGTGTGGTTCGAGTCCAAGACCCAGCCACTTGAAAAACATGCCAGGCCTGTGTGCATGCGTACATGTGCTACATCAAAAAGGAGAAACGGGGAACCAGCAGTTAGCGTAATGGCTATGTCGCTGGATTCCCATGTAGTCAACCGCTGTTCGCG